TTTCCGTTGTTAGCTGTCATTTATTGATTTTTTCAAAAACATATTATGACATTAGTTTTGGAAAAAAAAAACGGTATAAACATAATTTATTTTTAATAATATGCATTGTATTAAAGTACAGTCATTAATTAGAAAAATGTGGCTTAAAAAAATATTGAGCGTGACCTACATCCCCAAAAATAACGAGGTTATATAGGCCAAACGGCTCAATATTTTTGAAAACCACATTTTTTCTCTATATTGTGCTGAAATGACCTTACGATTGAAGTGGAAAGGATATAGGTATTTACGAATTTTTAGTACCTAATTAAATAGACAAATGTTGCCGATCTCCAAATTGTAAACGTCCCTATTCCGAGAATTTTCGAAAATACAATTATTGTAGGTTACGATGAGATAAAGCTATTTACGAAGTTTCAGGCGGATGTTAATAATTCGATAAAAAGGAGTCTGTACCACGGACTATTGAAACTATCCCAACTTTTCGTGAGAAGGTATTTTTGAAAAATATCCATGAAAAGAAAATACGCGCACTTAAGCTAAATAAGTCGATAAAATTAGATAAAATCTATACTTGACCATCTAGGTATCAATTATAATCTCTGAAAATTTATCATATATAATTATATAATTTTGTAACAGCTGTTTTCAACTGCATTTCGGTTTTTAAGAAACAGATATTTCCAGAAAAACATGAGCAGATGTAAGAGGAATTAATGGATGATATTTTATAAAAATAACCCACAACATATCATTCACAAAATACAAGTTTTTCTCTCATTTGAGCTAAATCGAACGTTTATCAAATATAGACTTGAATAAGAAAATACTTATTTACGTATGCCAAAAGAAAAGTGGTGTATTAAATTTCATGAAATTGATATAAGACTATCTATTATCTAGTTGATAATACCAATAATCTCGGAAAATTTCATTAAATTTTTATTAACTTTTGTATGCATGTTATATGAATTGGCCTACAGACTGAGAAACTGAACAAAAATTTCTCATCGATTTCTAAAACGGATAATATTAAAATAATTTTTTTTTTAATCTTCTCTTGGGAATACCAAGCTTCTCTTATCTTCGGCGGTAAGTAGCAAATATTATATTCAATACTATAAAAAATTTCTATATAATAAATACTTAAGCATTTTTGAGAAAATTAATGTTAATACATGCAATCTCTTTTGTAAGCTTAATAAACTTAGACTCTCCTAAGAAGGATATTAGCCGAAGTCTTAGACTAATCTTATTATAAACTTCGATGAACATCTAAAGTCCTTAAGATTATGCAAATATTTAGCTATAAAATAGTTAATATTAATTAAATTTATTAATAACTATTTGTAATATTTTAGTTTGAAAATTCTACAATATTTTTTATATTAATTACCCTGATCAGTGTTTTATTATCGTAATATTACCATAATAAAGAATCATGACGTAACTACAAATCGTAAATTTGTTATAGCTGATGCAAATAAAAAATTTAATAGAATTATTATAAAGCGAATGAGATCATTTTTAAAATTGTTTTTCTTTTATCCATTCAATTTTAACTTTCACTTAACTATATAGTTGAAATTCGAGCTCGCCCGAAAGATAAGAACACGCTTTCATATGTAACATGAGTTTAATATAATAAGGACTTCGACAATATTATGTAAATATACATACGCTGTTTTCATAAATTCTATTGTTGGTATTATTTAAGATTTAATTTTATAGAGTACAGCGATATAAATATTAAAATGTGTATATACATGAGTACTTATACGAACAAAAATACCCGCAATGAAATATAAATCAATATAGCGTTTATAATTTTTACTTTCAGTTTTCGTTTGTCTGAAAATACTTATTTCTGTTAGGAAGAGGGTGTTAATTGAAAGTTGTGTGATGCGCGCACCGCAGAATAGATTTTTATTTCTTTATAACATAATTTGATATCGGAACGACTAAATAAGTCTTTCTGGCAATTTAATGCGATAAAACATTTTTCTTAGTTCTTTTACAAGATGAGATATATGATGCATCATTAGCTGCTGATAAGTAAAAGTTTTTAATTTCTATATTTAAAAACATAATATATGCATATTATTTAATATAGTTTATTTCGTAAATATTATATTTATATTTAATGTAGAATTAACTTCCTTTTTTCTCGATTTCTCCTTTATTTTCCTCGAGGAACTTCTACATTATTTCGTAGAATTTACAAACTTGGCCGACATTAAGGAAAGTCTATTTGAGGAAAACGAACAGGTAACTAATTTATTAACAGACCTTGCTTTATTAATAGAATATTGAAAAATATTGAGGAAAAAGAAACATTGTTTTACGTAGACGCTTCCTTAGTCATACACTATTTCAGATTCTATGTAATGTATATATATATATATATATGTAACTACACTAAATATTTATGTAATATTTATTGGTCTCTCGGTTTTAACATCTGTAAATCCTAATGCCACTCTGTACTGTTACTGGGTTGGATTATCTCTTTCGTATACATAATGTATTTGTACTATGTATTATTTATATGTATTTGTACATGTATGAGGAAGTCACAGCCTTATTCCGATGCGACACTAAAAGTGTAGGCGTGTATATTTGAATTAAACAACAGTTGTCATTTACGAACATCTATTGAGCTTAGAGAATTCTTAATATTTTGCTTCCCTTCTACCGAAGAAGAGTTTTTATTAATACAGGATTTGACAAAACGTTTTTTGTTTATGATAATTTAAAAAAATTAAGATTGTATCAAAGATCAGATTTTTATTGTCCGTCTGTAGATAAATTACTGATGAAATTTTAAATTTGGTACCTAGATGTTCCTAAATTGATAAAATTCCATACAGAATTTCAGAAAAAAAACGTACATTCCTTGACAATGAGAAGGATCTAAAGGTAGTTTTATTGGGGGAACAATGAATGTGAAAAGATAAAAAATGTTACATTGCTTATAAGGAAATATCTTTCGGCAATCTGAATGATATTAATAACGAAACATTACATACTGACTTCCTAATATTCTTGGTACAAGATCACATTCACGCAAACATTTACATGACCTCAACACACATGCCAGAAAACACCCGATAAAGGCTGAAAAGGAGCTGGTTAAGAGATCTGGATTATTTTTGTTTTATTTCAAGTTAAGTGTAGATGCCCATGGGGTTTTTTTTTTATCTGTTTTTAACCAGTAGTTAACAGTCCTGTACTCTCATATATTCAAATAAATATACTCAATATAACGGGTCTTCACCCGTTTAATATAAAAAAAAATCACTAATATAAAAAAAAAAAAGTGCTGATGATTTGGATTAAATTTAAAGCAAAAATGGTTTTTTCTATTTCCAAAACAGGTTCTTGACAGCATCCAGCATTTATTGATAAATTTAAGTCAGGAAACGCAAGAAGTTGTTTTAAAATAAATTAAAAGTAATTTTCGTTAAGCTTAAAATGAAAAATATGAAATTTCCCTTAATTTCATTCTTTTTCTCACCTCTGTCAGCTAGAGGAACATTTTAAATTAAATAGTATCAGCTTACCTGTACAACAAAGCTATTCTCTTAATTGTTGTAATATACATTTTATGTTAATATTTTTCATGTATTTGAAATATACCTTGCCAACGCGAGAAATATTTCTATAATACGAATCCATAAAAAAAAACGCTGCAAATTATTTCACAATGGTTTATTGTTTCCAAACAATTATACATCTAAAGTAACATTACCTTCCGAGTTACAAAAAAACAAAAAACAAAAGGTGATTCCAATTATTGGACTAAACTATTTTTCTTTAATCATTAGTAATGTGCTAAAAAAAATAGCATTAGTTCAGTAACACATTTAAAATTTAAAAACCAAACCAAGGATATAACATTTGGAGTAGAACATATTAAAGAAAACCGGATATCTTTGCTCCTAATTGACCGATTGTAACGATTTTTTTTTTTTTTTTTTTAGGAAATTTCGTAAACTTTTAAAAAACTATATCAATATTAACAAAATAGTAAAAACTTTTCGAGTTATTCGGAATTTAATTTTACCATCCCTCGTAACTTTTTTTCCAGCTTCTTTTCGTTGAAGTATGTTGTATAGATAAATTTAAAGGGCGTCGAGAAAATGACTTTAGCGAAGTTTCATTGAAATCTGTACATTCGTTTACGAGCTACAGCCTATAGCAACGCAGGTTTTTCGGCCGCCATTTTGAAAGTTAAAGGCGGAGAGTAATGTCGATGAATGAGGATCATCCTCGGGTGACCTCCGATTTTATATCAAAATTTGATAAAAATCGGTCCAGTAGTTTCGGAGAAAATGCGCGGACGGCGGACGGACAAACAAATTTATATTCGTTTTTCGAATTCTACGCGTCTTGAAATGTGAAACCTCAAATTTTGAGAGGGGGTTAAGTTTTTGAATTTTGCGGTCGATCACAATGGTTGATTATTGAAAATAATAAACCAATATAACCTCAATATAAGTTTTTACACGTAAAATTTTAATGAAATTTCCTCAAGCATGTCGGTTACTGGTGTATTTACCCTAATCCTCTTAGCTTACTTTGTTGCTAAGGAATTTATTATTAAATTTAAATAATTAAGGCAGAAAATTAATAATTTAAAATTTCCAAATCATTATTTAAGCCGAGATTAAGGTAAGAGATAAGTTGGCTAATAGGCAAGCTGTGCTGCTCTCTGTTGATAAGAGATGAAACTATCCATTAAGGATTTATTAACATTCAAAACCCTTTCAGGTAATCCATTAACGAGGTAATCTTAATTTTCATTCATGGAACTTTGACAGTCATATTTTACAAGAGATTAATTTAACCATGGTAATGAATTTTTTAATTTAATATTAAAATATTATTTAATTATAAAAGAAAAATAAATCAGTATATTGCTTTCATTTCGTTCAGCTTCCAGTAAGTATTCCCTGACATTTGATGCTCTCCTTACTTCCTCAGATCACTTAAGGTCAATGTCGCCCAAAGGACGGAATTCTTGCCAGGTTCCTGAACACTTCTTATCTCACCCGGATATCTCCAGAGGTATGTAAATGTCTTCGGGTGTCCTCCTTGTGTTCCAGAAGTCATTCTTGAAACATACTTGGTCCCAAAAACGACATTTTTTCCCGATCGCATAAAGAGCAGTTTCCCGTTTAATTCATTTTTTTTTTCGCCAAAAATGAATTTCATTGATTTGTACCATTTTTCTTCTTTGTATGATTTTTTTTTTTTTCTGTTGGTATTACAGATCATTGTAGAGCTTTTGCTCGTTTTAACCAACCTACTTACTTCATCTCTAGTTGTTAATTCGATCTATCCATCTATTTTTTGGCCTTTTATGTGGCATACTTCAACTATGAGGCATTACTTCATAACCTCCTTGCCTTTCATATCATGAGATATTGATTGACCAGTTTCAGTAAGCAGTTTTTTTCCTCTATGCGTTAAAGAAATAGACTTTTTAAAATTAATATTTTAGTACTTCAACGGCAGTACTTCTCCGTATGATATTTCTATATATTGTAATGTGAAATTAAAAATTATAGGAGTATTGCCACCGTGAATATTAAATAAATTAACGTTTTAAAACATTAATTTATTAAAATTAATGGGATAGAAAAAAAAAACATTTTTAAACGTAAACGATTTTTTTTTTTTTTTTTTTTTTTTTTTAGCTTCATATATTCATCTGCACATGTTCATAAACTGTCTGATGAAGTTAACGAAACTGACATGTCAGACATGGGGAAAGATATTTATTTATTTATTTATACATGTTTTGGGCTCTTCAACCACTTGGGTCATTTCGCCCTATATTACAATTCGATGAATTACTACACACATAACTCAACTGTAGCTAAGAAATACAATTTAAAGTTTGAAAAGTTAAGAATAATTACAGATGATTATGATATTACAATTGAACTAAAATTATAAAAATTGAAACTTAAAGATTTAATAGAAAAAAGATAACAGAGGCAATAAAAATAAAGATTAATGATATTAAGAATAAAAGCTAAAAAATACATTTTTAAATAATAAAAATTAATACTAATAGATGCGAAGTTAAAGAATACAGTTTAAACATTAGAAAGTACAAGCACCATTAAAATTAAACATTAAAGATTAGAGAAAGATAAGTTAACAGTTAACAAGAATATTTAAATAAAAGGTTAATGATTTCAGGAATATAATCTAAAAATACTGTTTAAAAAACAAAATTAATATTAAAAGAAGAAAAGTTAGGAAGTACAATTTAAATATTAAAAATTACAAGAAGAAAAATTGAAAAACCGTTATAGTTAAAAATTATTTTAAGAAATTAGGCTATTTAAGAAATTCAAGGCTATTTCTGAGAAGGTGTTGATCCCTAGAAGATTGGAATGCATAACATTCGGTTAGGATATGGTTCACTGTAAGAGGTACCCCACAGGAAAGACATTGAGTGGGAGAGTCTTTCCTCATTAAGTACTCGTGAGTAAGCCTAGTGTGTCCGATCCTTAGCCGGGTCAGTACCACTTCTTCCCTTCTGGTCAGCAGGATATTTGGAGTGACTCTCCGGACCTATGGCTTCACAACCCTTAGCTTATTATTTCTAGTGGGAAAGATATAACGCTGCAGTGCCTCTTCCCTGGCTTGAATCAATTACTTTGGTTTGTTAAGGAAGGAGGTCTCACATCCAGCGCCTTTTTAGTCTTCTCCATGTATTGATGGGCATGTCAATTGAAGCCATATCTCTGATTAATATTTTAGTATGTCCGTCTAAGTTAGTGCAAAATCGTTAGTAAAGAGTTCTTATGTGTTGATCAACTGTTAGCAGGTGAAAGTTAGTATGTATAGTTATGTTAGTGACATATTAAAGTGCTTAGTTAAGACCACGATCGGATCTACGGGTGAGAGGGGGACGGGGAGGCTTCGGGACTGAAGCCTCCCCCAAAATGGTGAAATATAACCATGTTTTATGGAAAAAAATATTTTTAAAAATATCTCTTAAAGTATTATTGTTCGTGTAATTACATTTAAAAGGACTTTGGGAATAACTTAAACACCATTTCATATAGGTAGTTAGTTTCTTTCTTTTTTCCAAAGTGAAACCCCTCTCCAAAATTAAATGATGACTCATAATCAATAGTGATTGGAAAGTTTTTGTAAGTGGGTCTTTTTAGCCATATATATGGCTGGTATTTCTTCGAAGTCCTTCAATTTATCGTGGTTTAGTCGAATTTTCCATAATTTAATAATTTGAATACGGTAAAAAAAAAAAAAAATTTATCCAAATTAACGTAGTTTGTGATATTTATTTGATGGGAAAATTGCATCATATTTTTTATTTATTTTATTATATTAATATTATCAGGAAGATCCTTGGCACTGTTGGAACGAGTTGTGAAGAGGCTCACACGATTCGACTCGAGGACGATCTACTTACGGCCCATCAAGACCTCTCTGAGTGCCCAGTTCCGATTGGTTCAACCGTCCCAGCCCTCCCTAAACTGACCAATCAGCGCACTCGATGCATGTACTCGTGGCGCAGCGCGTGAATGACTCTAGTCACGTAGGGTCGTTAACTCTTTTACGGCAAATACTCTCGCAATATCGTTAATCGAATGACGTAGATGGCCCTGAAGGTTAGATGATTTGCTGTCTAGGCGACAGATGTTCTCAAGGAAGGTCTCAGCGCCATGTTGGGATGCGACGGTCGATGGAGCGACGTCAGGAAGCGATTGGGAAGGCGATAAAATGTCAAGAAGCGACTTCTTTTACTGATCAACTGTTCTTCCTTCTTCGTGTCAGCATAAATATACCGTTCATAAAATCGATACTATAATGTTTAATATAGCTTCATAGTCCGCAAGCCCGTGGCAACAAATATGAAAGTCAAGTTTTCTCTAAAATGTCAGAATTTAAACAGAAAGTTATAATTAATTTTAATTTTTAATGGTTGGTGATTAAATAGTTAAGTAATATATATTTTTTAAAGGAAACTTAATGTTCAACAAATTTCTTTCTATTGATTTCATAAAACGAAAAGTTAAACAGTTAATTTTTATTGAAATTACTGAATTATGGCGTATATCTTGGAAATTATATAAGAAAGCTGAGAAAGAAATAAACCAATTCATTTGAATTTTTTTTCAGCTTTAATTTAATATAGAATATAAAAATCTGAAATTTTTGAAATCGTAAATTCAAATTTTCTTGAAATTCAAAGATATCGGATTACTGAATATTATTTCGTGATTTAGGACTGCAAATAATATAAATTTATAAATATATAAATGGGTTAATAGATTTTCATCTTTAAACTAAATATAAAAGTCTTGTTGTTAGGCTCTAGTTTTAAATTTTTTTTTAGTTTCATATACTTTTTTTAATTTTCATATTTTATTTTTACAAATTATACGCCCTTATAATTATATACTTCTTAAAAAAGGCTGGTTGTAACATTAGGATGTCTAATTGCAATTGACAATGCACGGTTGATTAAAGAGTAAAGTAGATTTAAAATAACCAAATAATATTAGGGCGTTTCAGTTGGTTGAATGAATAACTCTAATTTACACATTTTTGCGTAAAGGTATTTTAGTAATATTTCTAGGCAGGAAATTTATAATATCTGTAGAAACAGTGACTAAGTTGATTTTATAATAGGTGATTGCAGTATTGAAATATAGAACTGTAAACAAAGGCATACATTTTCTCACTAAAATTAATAATCATAAATGTTGAGATTAGATTTTGGAAGGCTAGTGTAATTTCCGATAGGATTTTAATAAAAAATTATATAAACCTTTATACAATATTATATTATAAATAGTATAATTGTTGAAGAAGATATGTCGTTATTAAATATACCAAGTCTAAATAATTTTGCTCCTTTACGTAATTAATATGTTCGCTAATGAAACAGACTTACAAAAGGGATGAATCAATAGTTTCAAAGTTCCGAAGTTGCTGTCAAGTTCTTATGTCTGAAACTTGAAATGACTTCTTATCTAGAGAACATTGTAATTATTACAACAGTACAAGAGGTAATATTGGTATATTAATCTTGTAAAGTGTAACGTTATTTTACTAAAGTTAAATAAAATCGTTAATAATTTTATTTGTCAAACAGGTGCAAAGATTTTTAAATTAAAAAAACATCTTTCATACCGCTTTTTATAGTAAACATCTTAGCACCTGTCCCGAAACTTAAAAATTAAAATTATAAAATCATTATCCTTCCTATGGTTCTTTGTGGATGCAAAACGTGGCCGCTTACATTGAGGGATGAGCAACATCTTAAAGTTTTTGAAAATAAAGTATTCCGCAGAATATTCGGACCGAAAAAGAACGATTCAACCGGAGAATTTAGGTGGTTACACAACGCTGAATTGCGCAAACTGTATATGGTTAATATTATTGAAATGATTAAGTTGAGACGAATAAAATAGACCTGTAAAATCGCTGTGCTAAGTAAAGAAATAATTCCTAAAAAGTTAATATGCTCTGTGACGAAGATGGGAAGATTGCGTTAAGGTTGATCTGGCGGGGTTGGGTATAGATGGAACCCGGTGGAGGAATGAATGTGTACATCGATCGGTGGTATCGGCATCGAACCTTCAGGTTCTCTAATTCTTATTATTATAAATAATTATGTAATATATACATTTTTTATCTAATTTTTAAATATTGTCTTGTAGTGTTATACATAAGCATAATGATTACTTCAGAACTATGCTTTGTCATAAATCACTCGCTAATTTTTTGACCTCCAGTAAAACTTATTCAAAATATAAATATTATTTTAGTATTGTGATAGAAGAAATATTGATCCAATTAAAAACTTCATGAAAAAAAATAGATTATTAGTCAAACTTTATTTGTGTAGACTAGTAATTAATTATACATATTATCTGAAGAAGATATCTCCTAAAAGAGCGTTACGAAACTCATTAAAAACATATATAAAAACTACTAGTTTACAAGGATTTCGGCTCTAAAGCTAACATTCATAAATGATAAGATAAAAAAGTGAAAAACACCTGTAATCTAGAAAAAAAAATAAGGAAACCCTTGAACACAAAAAATAAAAAAGATTTACACATTATTAAATACATAGCAAACATTGGATTATGGTTGATCCCTGTTCAATCTTCAATAAATCACTAAATTCATGTTTTTCATCACGTATAAGAAAATTTTTTTATGTTACGATATTTTTTTTCTATTTACTTTTCAAATAGTTAACATTCGGTTACGAATTCGAGTACACAGCTGTCGAACCATTTGTTCGGTTCCATCATGTTTGTAAATGTATTATTCATACATGTGCAAAGTATGTTTCGATTGAAATGAATTCCAATGGTTCACGTGCCATGATTTGGCATTAAAATGGATTTGATTAAAGGTTAAATATAATGGTTATGATTCTCATACTTGTTAAATAAGTTTAGATCAATCCAAGACACATTGCCTTCAAGTACAAAAGATTCGACAAAAGAAGCGAAGAAGAATTAGTTTAGGATCGCAAACTACGGATGATGGAGATAACTTTCTTCGGGCGATGAATAAAGATAACGCCCATGACTTGATAAAGTTTTTGAATAATATAAAAGCAGTTATATAATAAAAGAGAGCCTCTTATTCTCATTGAAATGTTACTAAACTATTGTCAGCTCAGTTTTAAATATTAGTTGTTCTAGTTTAAGTTCTATATAAGTTACATTCAGTAACTTATATAGAATCTAGTAATATTCAATAAATATCCAGTGTAATTTCATCTTACAATTACAATTAAAATATTTTTTTGGCAAAATAAGACTTACTTTAACAAGCCTTAAAGCCAAAAAAGAACAAAAAAGTAAAATCTAAAGAGCTTCTAGAAGAAGACTTTAACCAAGTTTAATTAAAATCATTATATTCGTTTAGGCTCTAGTCTATACCAACACAGGTTTTTCGTCCGCCATCTTAAAAGAAAAAGGCGGATAGTAATGTCGAGGTAGGAGAGGATCATTCTCGGGGAACCTCTGACTTAGATTTCAAATTTGAAAAAAAAAAAATCGGTTAATTAGTCTCGGAGAAAATGTGCGGACGGTGGGCGGACATAAAGTTGATTCGATTTTCGAGTTCTACGTTCTCTGAAATGTAAAACCGCAAATTTTTAGGGGCATTAAGTTTTTTTAATTTTTCGGACGATTGCAATGATTCATTATTGAAAATAATGAACCACACAATCGAAAATATTACGTAAAATCGTCAATGCTCCTTGGTTTATTTCAAATCACACCATACAAACATTCCATTCTTCTACTCTCAATCATCCATATCCACTCGTTCTATCTCTATCTTCCTCCCTGTTACCTGGTGAGCCTCAACGACTAAAAGGCAATGGTCTAGAGATCTGTTGACAAGTTATGCAAGTATCAAGAATATAAGAAGATAGAATAAACGCCAACACATTTGCTCGATGCGTTACAACGCAGTGGCAAATTTAATAGAAAATAAAAATAAACCAAACAATTAACTGGGGGTTGATAAATTAAAAAAAAATAATCTTACGAAGACAATTTTTTTTCTCTAATGATTAAAATAAATTCTAATAAATCCCATCAAATCACCTTTACCCTTCGACGTAAACCTATGACTTCATGTCCCAATGTATCCTTTAATAATATCTCGCTTATCCCTGTTGAACAAATCCGGCAGTTACTAGACAAACGCTCTAAGCTTCCAGTTAATTACAAATAACTCATATACATGACTACAATAAGACCTATTTGGACTTATGGAGTTGAGCTTTGGAGCTCCACTAAGCCATCGAATTCCTCTCGTATCCAATCCTTACAATCTAAAATCCTTCAGAAAATCCTTAATGTTACTTATGTTTCCGATTTGGCCCAATCCAGATACCAATCCTTCCATAATACACTTCAGAACCATCCGAATCCCCTCCTCTCTAACTTGGCTTCCTCTTCTATCCCTGATTACCCTCCGAGGCATTTGAAAAGAAGATGGCCTCGAGATCTCCTATTGTAAATACTTTTTTTTTACTCCTATTGTAAATATTTTTTTCTCTGGACAAGCAAGGAAAGTATTATTAACTTTTCAGAGTATTTAAATTACATTTAGTAATGTTTTGAGGATGCTGCCTGTTTTCACTTAATGAAAATTCCTCCTTTCTATACTGATGAAAATATTCTCGGAAATTTCTTTTCTTCGAGTTCTTTCGAAGGTGACCTATATAAAATACAAGAGAGTTTATCGATTCATGATTAAATACAACCTCAGTGACTAAGAACTTAGTGACACAAGGTAAATTAAAGGTAAAACGACCCCGATTCAACGGTATCAGCTAGACAAGAGGTAACCTAACCATAAGCTATTGATATCACCTTGTCTCCAGCCATTGTCGTGGATCGGTTTCACCTTTCACTGCGCAGCCTCCAACCGGCTTAGAAACAGTTTCAAATCAGTTCAGCTTTTGTTCTAGTCGATTTCGTTTTATTGTTTGCTCTGCGAGTTTAGGACGTGATGGAATGAAAAGGGCCTTTTGTCC